TGATTTCAAATCATAAGTTTATGATTTGATATAATAAATCCTGATTTCAAATCATTCGTTTATGATTTGATATAGTAAATCCTGATTTCAAATCATAAGTTTATGATTTCATATAATAAGTTCTGATTTTAAATCATAAGTTTATGATTTGATATAATAAATCCTGATTTCAAATCATAAGTATATGATTTCATATAATAAAAATCATTATTTGATATCAGTAAAACCATGATTTAATTTATAATGGTAATTGAACTGAGTGGAGTGCAATTTGGTCTGAAATCATACGCGTGAATTTTTTTAATTTTAAAATTTTTAAAATTTTTAAAATTTTTAAAACTAAACTAGTGAGCAGCACTCTGCGAACTGTTGCTGTAAAACTTGTTTATTCTCCTACGCGTTTCGTCTAACTAACGTAGACTTCTTCAGGGAGTTTTACAATCAAATACTAAACGCCTGTATTTAAGCCATAATATGACTAAAAATAATGATGGTCGCAAACATTGAAGGTTTGGCCGGATTTACGAAAAGGAACAGGCGCAGCTGTGAAATTTTGTACGCAAGGCGTAAGAATACTTTGGGGCCACGGTTTTAGCTAAAACCGTGGCCATGGGATTTGACACGCAAATCAAACGCAACGGGAAGACTTGCCTTTTTGCAGAACAGGTTTTCAGATCAACTTATTTCTGCTGTTGGAAGCATATTGCTGTAGACGCTGATTTTTTTGTTTTTAGCGACTCTTGAAAAATATCACCAAATTTCGCTTAGCGGTCCATGGTCCGCGTCCTATGATCTTGGTTGCATAAGACTTACCAAAGTAAAAAGCGACGGCCTTTGTTTTCGAAGAATGTTTTGAAAGTCGTCCCTATACATGTCTACAAGTTCTCTTTTTTAATACCTCGAGTACATAGAGAGTTTTTGGTAATTATTTTCGACCGCGCTAAAAACCGCTCGTCGACGCTCGTGTGGGAGACTCGAGGAGACTGTTGTCTGAAGTCTTTGAAAGAAAAGCGGATTATTTTATGCTCACAGCATCTTCCGAAAAAAACTTTAGCTTAATTGCATCAAGAAAAGAAAAAAATACAAGAAATACTGTGAAAATCACGTTTTCGTGTGGAAACTATAACATTTTAGAGTTTTTATCGTGCTGCTTAACTGAGACGCGGACCAAGGACCATCGAAAACGGTCGCCTTTTTGCGAATTCCTAGCAAAATATTTATGTCTGGAACTTGAAACTTCAGGATTATTGACAGGAACATAAAAGCTATCTTCAGGGAGTATTTCAGCTCGTTACATGAAGATTCGGGTAAGATATTCAAGTTAATAGGGAACTTAAGAACCACGACGACGACTTTGTCGACGACGACCGGAAGTGAGATACCGTGCACTGCGCAAGCGCGATTAGCAAATTTCGTCGTCGTGGTGTCGTCCACGACGCCAAACACAGTAGAATCACGTCGTCCTGCAATCCACAAGCTTTCGCAGGTATAAATCATTGTTTTTAAGCGATTTTTCAAGGGCTTTGTATTTTTTATCCTCGTTAATCCAGGTATCCTTTCTTTTTTCTCCTAACAAGCGATGTTGATTGAAAATTCGACTGATGAATTGTGTTTACTTCGAAGGCAACACTGAGCTGTGGAGGCCGAGCGAGCGAACTAGTAAGTGATAAATTTAGTTGTACGTATTTAGGAAAGGGAAATCATATATCTTTAATTTAGAGGAAATGAACTTTATGTGGAAAACAGCTATCGCATCGGAATGTCTCTTTTTCCAAAACTAACGTCTGACA